TTTGGAATAGGGTGTTAGAAAATAAAAGATAAACCCAATTTATTTGGCTCTATATATGCTCTTTTTTTTGTACTGGAGATTGAACTCAGGACCTTGCCCTTGGGAGGCAGGCAGTGCCACCACTGAGCTAAATCCCTGGCCCTACATGTACTCTTTATTTTAAAAACTCTCCTAATTTCCCTCTTTCCTACTTTCTTAAAAACAAAAAACTCCACTCTGTTGCCATCCAGGCTTAACTCCCTCTGAAGTTTGTTCCACTCTAGGAAGAAAGCCCTTAGCTACTGGTCATGAGGGTCATTACACTGCTCTTTTTCCCTTCTTTAGTGGCCATGTTCAGGTAACAAGCCTTTTACACAGAATATGGCATAAAAAATGGTAGCACCTTCTTTGAATTTGATTCTGCGATTTATGTCTGAATCAGTTGATCTCCAATCCTGTTGCTCTAAAATTTGGTTAGAACTTTACAGAGGACAGTCCAATACTTCAATTTTGCTTCTATAATAGTAGTAAGGAAGTAAATGTGGTAAGGAGGGGATTTTGGAGTTTAACAGATCCAGGATGAAACCTAAACTCTGCCCATACTGTGTGACTTGAGGCAAGACTCTTTCCTTTTAAAAAGCTTTATTTCCTCATCTTGCAAGTGAGAACAGCACCATCACATATGTCACCTCTATGACTATGAGGATTAAATGCATTCTTGCATGTGAAGAGCCTGACTCAGAAAATGTTTCTTCTTATTATTAGCTTGTAATTCTTTAAATAGGGACTGCTGATGGCTTCATTCAGAATGATGCAGTAAAAAGCCTCTACAACTCCGTTTCCTTCTATTTGTCCTGTGATCAGCTTTAGGGAAATCCTCACAGAGGCCAGGGACCTCAGTCCTTGTTTCTGTTCCACCTCGTATAATTTTCTCTCCACACGAAGAAGGCTGAGGCTAGTGCCCCAGAACCTTGGACAGCTCCTCTCTTTGGCAACTTGGCTGCCTGCGGGAGAGGGAGCTGAAGAACCCCGGGAATTTTCCCAGAAAGTCTGCATTAATGCGGGAATTTAGGAATCCTAAGGACTGCAGTCTCACTCCCAGCATGTATCCTGCCATTGGCATACATGCTCAGATTCTTCAACATGAGCAATCCTGGAAATGTCTAAGGAGCCTCAACTCAGAATGCCATAATTCCACCTATGAGATTTACTGAACCATAGAGTCCATTTTTTTTCTTTCTTGTTATCTTTAAGACTTTTTTTTGAGCCTAAAAAGAACAGAAACACCACCCACATCTTCCTGTATCTGCTGATATTTAATTTGTTTGGATTCAGTACAAGGATTAAACATTCTTGATTAACTTCAAGTGAAATAATAATGCACGAGCATCAGGAAATGTTTTACAAGACAAAGATTCAGGGTTGAATAGAAAGAAACATAAAATAATATTACTGCTGTAGGTGATGTTAAGCACCATCCGCTAATCAGGATAAGCAGGTGGTTCCATTTATGAGGTAATTTAGCTTTTCACTCTCCAGTGCAGAACACAACACACTATATGCAGTCACCTTCTGAACAGGCGAAGAAGAAATTAAGTCCTATTTTTACTTTATGATACTGAGTCACATAGTTCAATGCAAATCACATGGATGCCAAAGTAAGAACAATACCAGGTATTTAAATACCTCCTTTCACTTAAGGAACTCTAACAATTTTGTGACAGTGTGATATCCCTTCAAAGTAACTCTAGAAGAGATACATGTCACCAGATGGTTATTTGGAACTGAGCATGTCTCATTCCTCTCCCCCACTCCCATTGTTAGGTCTGGAAGAGCCCATATCTCACGAGATTTTTGCATTGAGAGCCTCCATCTACCTGCATTTTCTAGGCCATATAATCAATGAGGAAAAGAAGATTTGTCTTTGAAATAATTAAATAATGAGGAGAAAAAGATAAAAGTGGAACAAGAACAAGAGAAAAGCGTAAGGAAACAATACAGATAGGGGAGAGACTTGGAAAATATTGAAATCTCCTTGAGCTTGATGAATGTTTTCTACATACTGTCTTCTTAAATGGATTTGATGCCTACCCTCAAGTGGATGCAAACACAAAGGCCTGCAGATTCTCTTTAAACGTTTCTACAGGGCTGAGGACATCAGCAGTTCATGTTTGAATTAATTTGAAGTAACCAAAGAGAGTAACATCAACTCAGGACACTCAAGGTAAATACATAGCCCCCAAATAGAAAAATTTGTGAATTACCTAACAATGCCCACACCCACTCTATGCCTCCACCCCACAGCAGGGCTGGTTGTCAAATTGAGCTTTGATTTGACTTCTTTCCAGCAGAGGTCGCTGTGGACACTGGTTATAGATGCTAGGGACTGGATCGGGCAGGATGGGCTGACTGGCTGGTGGCTCCGTTACTGGGTACCTGCTCTTTCACTGGCCACAGTCTAACTCCTCATTCTATTGCAACATTCCTCAAGACCATGCAGTACCTTTGCCATAAAAGTGCTGTGAAATTGGGGTCAATTTCATGCACTGGCAGGCCTGGCAGGGCTGTGCCTATCTTCTAGAGGTATTACCTTTTAACGGAATCTCCATCACCCTGGAGTCCTTTCTGTGCCCGAACCCGGTATTTCTGAGATGCCACCAATGACTTGCCAGCAACCCCACTCCTGTCACCCTCCCAGCTACGGAGGCCAAAGTGACAAAATTTGCCTTGCCACACAATCTTGTGCACACATTATAAGGGACACAGTTATAAGCGCCTAAAACCTTACTTGGGAGTGTGTGGCAGTGGTGGGGCCAAATTCTGGTCCTTAAGGCAGCCCATTACAGCAGGATGATGGGTGGAAATGGCAGGACACTAGTAAGGATATAAGGGTCAGACCTGAAGTTCCGAAAGTCTAAGGAGGTCTCCACATCTTTGTGAAGTCCCACTTACTGCAGGCATGCAGGTTACGTCCAAGGCAGCCTGAAGCTACCCTCTCCCCGAAGACATCCTCTCAGACCCTAGGTCATTACTATGGCTTAAGAGTTAAAAGAGTGCCTATTCTGCTGCCCTCAACATTCAAGGAAGTGGTTTCCCCACCCTCCATATACACACAGAGCTAGATGCACAGGCTCACCATGACATACACATGAACACTGGAGCACACACTGGCACATTTACTTAGTCACAAACATTTACACTTTAGGGCTGGGAATTTAGCTCAGTGGTTCCACCGCCAGCCTCGCAAGCCCAAGGTCCCGAGTTCAATCCCCGGTACCAAAAAAATCACATTATTTACACTTTGACCACACTGTCATCAGTGCACACACACACACAATGCACACACACACACACAGATTCAAACACATCCCAGCTCCAGAACCAAATCTGACCTAATATTACTGATGGTGCATATAGAGATCTAGGCAGAATGCCCCTCCAGACCCTAAAACACTCATGTTCCCTGCACCAACCCCCCATCCCCACACCCCAGCGAGGAGTCCCTGCCTGCCTCATCCTGGACACAAGTCCTAGGCCTGGTCACCATCGTGCACACAGCATTCAGGGTCGGGGCTGGCAATCGGGTTGTGGAGGTGTGTGGTAAAAGAAAAGCGGGTATGGGACATAGGGCTCTGCCCAGCTCAGCTATCGCCTCCCTCGGGATTTTCCATGCCGGCTAGCGCGGGCCCGCGAGGAGTGAGCGCGCTTTGTCTCTTGCCCGGCTCCCGGTACATTTCCGCGGAAGCCATCCGCGCCGCGCCCGAGGGTCGGGGCTGGCAATCGGGTTGTGGAGGTGTGTGGTAAAAGAAAAGCGGGTATGGGACATAGGGCTCTGCCCAGCTCAGCTATCGCCTCCCTCGGGATTTTCCATGCCGGCTAGCGCGGGCCCGCGAGGAGTGAGCGCGCTTTGTCTCTTGCCCGGCTCCCGGTACATTTCCGCGGAAGCCATCCGCGCCGCGCCCGGCGCCCAGAACGCAGTTCCCCGCGGCCGGATCTGGGGCGCACCCCGTGCCAAACAGAGCAGTCCTCAAGGATCCGGTGCGCGGGGGACCCGGGCCTGGAGCTCCTGGGTGCTTCTTGAGAGGGGACCAACCCTGTTCTGCCCCGCACGTGCTATTCTGGCTCTGGATCCTCGCCGAGGTACAGAAGCTCAGGTCCCTGGGGCGTGGCGGGGCAGGGAGGGTCGTTTCGACTCTTACATCCCCTCACCTGAATCCAGGTGGAGAGCCCTTAAGAGCTAGGACGAGGTGGGGAGGAGTCCCTCAGGTCCTCTTTCTCTCCGCTACCCACCTCTTACACCCAGGCCACTCCGACCTTAGTCTCTGGCCGGAGCACCAAGGACCCAGAACATCCGTCAGTGCTTTCCTTTATGGACGACTCCGGGCAGGGCGGGGAGGGGTCTCCCGACCTTTCCCTCTCTCACCTCAGTCCTCCTTCAGACCCTCCTGCCTAAAAGCCTTAGACACAAGTGATATGGGGATGAGCCCTCGGTCTAGGCACGTCCTCATCCTCCCTCTTCAAAGACCCTAGGCTGCAGAGGGGGAGCGTGGGGAAGGGTCTCCCTTCTAACTCAACCTCAGCAGGATCTGAGCGGAGGGAGGAGTCCCGCGATCTCATCCATCATACGTAGCCAGACCTCTTTGTGCCCTCAAACAACTGGGGTGTTGTGGGGAAGGGTCCTCCTGCTTCTGAATCTCTCACCCAGAACACTCCTCCCTTAATAATCCAAGCAGCCTCGACTTCAGGCAAGGGGGGAAGGAGCTTTCCAGGCTTTCCCCGGAGAGATGGGGGAGGGTCCCTCAGCCCTCGCCCCTCACACTCAAGAAGCCCCTCTACCATGAAACAAAAACTAACCAAGCCGCTCCGACCTTAGGCGCCCAGCCACGGGAAGGCCCGTGGTCAATCAGCAGCAATCCGGGACAGGTGGTCCTAGGCGTTCCACGTCCCATCAACTCCCCAGGCCCCTTCACGCCTCAGTTCATCCCTCCCCAGTAAAACAAAAGCAAATCTGCAGCACCAACCTCAGACGGCGGGCAGGAGGGCAGTCAGTGCCTGGCAGAGCACTGGAGCCTTCCGGCTCCTCACAGCCCCGGGTTCCCGGCGGCGGCTATCGCGGCGGCTGCGGAGGCAGCGTCCGCGGCTCTAGCGTCCGGAGCCGTGCTCGGACTCAGCACCTGAAGAGGCGAACAGCTCCGCGCCTCATTCCGCTGACCCCGCCTCCCCCGCCCCACCGTAGCCAATGGCGACTCGGGCCACGCCCATAAGGCTGCCCATTGGGGGGCACTATCCCCTATCCCTTTGGCCCCGCCCGCGGATTCCTGGGGCCCTCCGTAAAGACCACATTCCCCAGGGACCGCTGGAGTTTCCGCAAGGCTTTCTGGGATTGTAGTTCCTCAAGAACGCTGTGTTGACTCATACCTGGGCCGGCGAGGAGAGATGGACTACATTTTCCAGAGTGTATTGAAGAGACGGAGGCGCAGAGGAGGGCGGGAGGACTTTACCCAGCAAAGACTGCCCTTGGGGGGGATGGCTGGGGAGTGGGTTAGGCCGCGCAACCCTCAAAGGATTATGCATGGCTTCGGACAGACTCTGGAGAGACCTTTTAGGGTTTTTTCCTCCATTTTTACCTCAGGACTCTGGGCCTCAGTTTTCCTAACTGGGAAAAGGGGTTAGGGAACGTTCCCCTACTCAAAGCTGGCAGTCATGGGGCCAGCTGAGAGCGAGCCGCTTTGATTCCTGTCCAGCATAAGTGCAGAAAATCAGGGGAGACCTCCGCACCGCGTTCTGAACTTTTATGTTTTTGTCTTGATCTTGTCAAAAAGAGATATTTTACTTTTGGTCACATCTCTTGGGCCACCAAGGCCTTCCCATCTTGCCTTTCTTACCACCCCTGACTGTGGCAGCATCTCCCCCGTTGCAGCCTGATAGAGGGCGCTACACCTCCTTAAAACCCTTCACAGGCTTCCCTAAACCTCCGGAGTTAAGCCCAAATTTCTCAGCGTGGTTGGAAAGGCCCTTCAAGATCTGGATTTCACCTTCTCGCAACACTGAATTTCTTGGGAAACTGAGAAGCCTGAAGCCTTCATTTTGTTTCACTCCTGTGGGGCCCTCCGCTTTGCCCTCAGCCATCTCCTCAACACTTCAAACCTCCGCCTAGATGCTGCCTATTTTGTAAAGACTTCTAGATACCCAGCTCTTGTGCTGGGTTGCCCCACCTTGTATTTGAGCAGCATCCTCTACTTCCCATATTCCACTTGGTTGTTTACATACCCATCTTCGTCATTAGATTAAGATCAACAGGTTAGTCATTTCCCATTGTTGGAGATGTTCAACTAGAAGAATGCCACCTCTTGAATAAATGTTCATGTCATTCTCACACAGTGGATTGAGGTTTTGCTTGATCTGAGAGTTCTTCCAATCTTTTGATGCTAGGGATTCATAGTCATGCCTATTATTTCTATCAATTCTCCCCTAAATATCAGCAGTTCTTCATATTCCTCTATTTCTAGCTTTTGGTCCTACACCTTTCTGTTCCTAAATGCCTACTTCCTGCTCCTTTTCTGGGGAGATCTGTCAGTGCTCTGCTGAACATCATAGGAGCCCAGTAGTGATGTCTCACCTTGCTAAGTAGCGTCTTTCCTAAATCTTTACCCGCTAAATGTTCTGGTGTTATCTAGATGGCCTAATCAATCCCACATATTTCATTTGTCACCCCTTCCAGAAGTTTTGGGTATATGACAAATGAGGCATTCTTGGAAGAATATATATGATATATACTATATGAGATTAATTAATACCTGGCCCAAAAGAAAGAAACTAGGGAGACTTACCCTGAACCTAATTCAAACCGAAGAGACAGAGCCTAAGAGAAAGCAACACTGTCATTTTTGAATTGTTGACAGCTGGGGAGCAAGGGTAGGATGGGGGAATGAGTAAAATGGATGGCATTTAGAAAATAACTAATAGGACTTCTAAGAAGCATGACAGAGGGCTTTGATCATGATGAAACCATAAAGGAAAGCAATTGGACCTGAGTGAACAGATGGGTCTTCATTATTAAAGATGAAACAACTGTAAGGAGACAGGGGAAATGGGATGTGTGCTGAGGCTTAGGGTCCAATTCTGTGGATGCAGCAGGAACAGAGGAGCAGAGGCTGTTGGAGAAGTGGGTAGTGGGGAGACTACTATAAAGTGGACATCAGCAGGGAATTAACAAATCAGTAGAAGGTTACCAAAGAAACCCACTTGGAAGCAGATATGAAACCCATTAGAGGTCAGTTTAGTCCTACAGAGCTAGTGCTAGGGCTGGGGGTATGGCTCAGTGTCTAGCATGCATGAAGCCCTGGGTTCGATCCCCAGGACCATACCACACACACTCACATGTAAATACACATGCATGAAAAGCAGTTATAGCTTTTAGGAATTTTCTATAAATAGGAAGAAGTCAAGATCTGATTCTCCCAGCACACACAAACTAAAAATAGCAACTGTCCAGTCAACCAGAGTCAGGAAGCTTGGGTTCTAATCCTTATTTTACCTCTGATCAGATGTGTGGCCCTGAGCTAGACCTGTTTCTTCAGTTGTAAAATGCTGTTGATTGGCATTTGGGAGGGCCTAATCTGGATGCAGGTGAGGAAATTTGAGCCCACTTACTAGTTGTGTGGCCTTGCACAAACTACCTCCTTGGGTCTGCAGTTTGCTTATCTGAGAACGTTGTAAGGAGTAAATGAGGTTCTTTATGTAAAGTACCTCATAAATATTAAGCCTTAACAATGTTTGTTTCTGTTTTTTTCAACTTGGATGATCAGATACTGATTTGACTATGAATACACAGCAGAAGATGATACCCTGGGCCATCCAGTTTTGACTTCCCATTCCATTTCTTAGTGCTTGTATAACTGGTGAGGTTATTAAATCTTTAATCCTTTTGAGTCTCGGTCTTCTCATTTGAGAAATGGAAATATTGTGTACCTTAAAGTTGTGAGGATTAGATAAGATAAAGTATCTGACTCACAAGAAAATGCTCAATATATTTGTTTTGTCATTTTTAGGGGTAGTTTTAGGGCACAGAACCTTAAAGGAATGGAATTCTGGATGCTTGGAAGCTAGAGTTGCAGATGATTTTGGGGGACACTGTGCCAGCCTCTTCTTAGAGAGGAACAAAGGTCTCAGCAAAGTTCCATAGGTCTTTTTTTTTTTTTTTTTTTTTTTTTTTTTTGGATGCAGGGTCTCACTATGTATTTGAGATTGACCTGGAACTCACTATGTAGCCCAGGCTGGCCTCAAACTCACAGTGATCCTCCTGCCTCAGCTTCCCGAGTGCTGGGATTACAGGTGTGTACCACCATGCCTGGCTTCCTAGGTCTTTTAATTAAGAACAGAGGGGATTAAATCAAATGCTGAATCTCAGACACTGAAAGATTGGAGCGATTGATCAGGCTGGGACCTAAAGAATCTGATATATTAGTCTGAGGATACAACTGATTTTAAGTATAATATAGGTTTGGGGATGTGCATTTTGAAAAGGTCTAGGGATTATGTAAGATTAGCCAGCAGATGAGGTTGGGATGTGGATTGAGATCCAGCACAGCATGTGGAAAAGTAGGTAGAGGATTTGACCTACATTAAGGAGGTGGATATTTAGAGGACTTTGTGGGTGATGTGCTGAGGTCATGGAGAGAATGGCAAGTCAAAGAAGGGATCAAGCTTTTTGCCTTGGATAACTAGATGGATGAACCATCGTCTCTTCTGAGATGTAGAATAGTGAAGAAATGCATTTAAAAAGGAGGGGAATTTGAATTTACTATGAAACATACGGGTAAAGTGCTTGTAGATAGCTCCGAGTTTATGCAAGAGTTTTGGTCTGGAGATGAAGTCATAAATTATCAAACTATTAGCATATAGTTCATAATTAAAGCGATGGAAATGAATTAAATTCTTCAATAGAGAGCATCTAAGAGAAGACCTGAATTCTTTGGGAAACATCAAAATTTAAGGAACAAATAGGGAAAGAAGAGCCAAGAAAGAAAGGTGAGAAGAACAGCCAGAGTGAAAGGAGGAAAACCTGAGAATTATGTTTCACCAAAGCCAAAGCAGGGAGGTGGGCTGACATGGTACGGCAAGGCTAGATAAGCCAAGGTCTGGAAAAACAAACACTAAATTTAGTGACAAAGAGGTCACTGGTGACCTTGAAGAGACAAAAGCCTAAGTGAATGGGAGAGGATGTGGACAACTCATAGGAGCGGAGAGGTTTTGAAAGGGAAGGAAAAAACAAACACAAAAAACAGAAGGAATGTAGGGCTGAGGAACAAATTTGTTTGCTTTGTTTGCAGTTTGAGGAATTGAACTGAGGGCCCTGAGTTGCATCCCCAGACCTTTTAAAAAAGTTTGTTCTGTTCTGTTCTTTTCTTTTTTTTTTTTTTTTTTTTTTTTTTTTTTTTGGTACCAGGGATTGAACTTGGGTCCCTCTGCTTGCAAGGTGGGCGCTAGAACCACCGAACTAGATGCCCGGCCCAAAAAGTTTTTTTCTTTTGCGATAGAGTCTCTCTAAATTGCTAAACTGCCCAGGTTAGACTAGAATTTGTGATTTTCCTGACTCAATCTCCCAGAGTGATTACAGGCATGCACCATAACAAATTTGTTTCAAGTTGGGAGATTAGGACATTTAAAAAGGATAAGGAGAAATCAGTAGAGGGACAATTAAGGATAAAAGAAAGGGAGGGGACTGAAAGATGGAATGAAGTCAGGAAAAAGATAGGAGGTGGTGGGGTTCAGAATAAGCCTCTGGCAGGAGAACACACTTTTCTCTAAGATGTGAGGGAAGGAGGATGCATTCAATTGGAGATGTAGATATGTAGATGGGCAGTTGGGAGGTAGACTCAAGAAACTGAGAGAGTTTGTACCTGGTGGCCATTACTTCTCTGATCTAAGAAGCAAGGCTACATGTTCAGGGAAAGGAAGTTCAGTGGGGTGGGAGATTTGGAGACAGAGGCAAATGTTCAAATGGCTGCTATGGAAAAGAGAAGGGAAAGCTCATAGTGACCTGCAGAGGCTGTAGAGCAGCAGTTAGTTCTTGTGGAGGTTGGGAATCACGAGCTTGTGGGGCCCTAGTCTGTGTAGGATATGAGGTTCCTCCAGTCAGTATCCAGTGAGTTCTGAGACAGGCATGGAGAAGCCTATTTGTGAGGCAGATCCAGGACTGGGCTTTGCTG